GCGTATAAAAGAAGAGATTTGACAGTAAATTTCTCATGCAGAAATTGAATTTGAGCATTGTTCTTTGGTAGAAAAGTTTTTGTTATGCCTCGTGTAAGAAGGAAAAATGCTTACCAGCACGTGTCTGAGTTTGATTGAGGTGGAATTGAGGCCTGCCGGTATTGTGGTTTATCATACCAAAGTACTGCTGCTTGCGTTAGTCGAGATCCCATGACTATTAGAAGAATATGGAATCGATGGGTTCATGAAGGTCATATGGAACACCGTGCAGAATCTCAGCGGCTCCCTATCACTGACAGCCGAGAAGACAGATACGTCATCTACATGGCCTTAAGAGATCGTATAGCTACGTCACGAACCCTGAGTCTACAAATGGGGTTTTTTGCAAGACAAAAAGTGTCTGTACGAACAGTTCGACGACGTTTGCAGCAGCATGGACTGTCAGCACGGTGACCATGACTTCGGCTACCCTTAACGCTGCATCACATGCAGGAGCGCCTCCAATGATATGATCAACGATGAACCTGGACACAGGAATGGCATGACGTCGTCTTTTCAGACGAATCCAGGTTCTGTATACAGCATTATGATTGTCGTATACGTGTTTGGCGGCATAGTGGAGAACGCAGATTAGCAGATTACATTCGACATCGTCATACTGCCCATCACCTGCAGTAATGGTATGCGGTGCCATTGGATACACGTCTCGATCACCTTTTGTTCGCATTGCAGGCACTTTGAAAATCAGCCGTTGCATTTTTGATGTGTTAGGGTCAGTTGATCTACCTTATCTTCGAGGCATCTCCAAAACGCTACGTTTCAGCAGGACAATGCACGACCGCATGTTGTCCGCACTGTCCTGGCCTTCCTTGACACAGAACATGTTCGCATATTGCCCTGGCCAGCGCGTTCTCCCGATCTCTCACCAATTGAAAACGTCTGGTCAATGGTTGCCGAATAACTGGCACACCACCACTCGTCACTCACTTCGGTCGATGAATTGTGTCATAATGTTGAAGCTGCATGGAATGCTGTACCCGTCCATGCTATCCAATCTCTGTTCGACTCGATGACGTGGAGAATAACTGCTGTTATTGCTGCTAAGGGAGACTGCTCTGAGTACTAATTTCTCAGGATCTATATATCCAAATATCCTGAAAATTTAATCACTTGTTCTTGGAACTATAATGCATGTGCCCAATAAATATCATTCTGTTATTTGCATTCCTTCCTAATGGCCAGTAGTGTACTATAAAATCCTTCTTAAAATTATGCATGTTATTTTTTGTATGCAAATTATAGTGATTATCATGATTGGGTAAGGATAATAAAGGTAATTAATAATAAGGATAAAGTAATTAGGTAATTATTGTGAATTGTTTTTGACATTAAGCATTTTTTGTTTATTAGAATTTACATTTAGTGCGAATGATAATGTATCAATAACAAGTCTTTAAATTTAGAACAATATGACTCCTCGCTAAACTAATAAACAGAGAAAAAGATAAGTCAGATAATAAAATGTCTGTCTCAATATAAACTTTTATCTTAATCTGAATTTATGGTAGATGACTCATTCCCTCCCCCCCTTCTTGAAACTCACTTTTAAACTATTTTTCATGAGGATATAGTCCTGTTTACTCTTACTAAATGTTTAGAAATGACTTTGGCTTTCTTGTTTTGCATTCTAAATCAAAATATATCATTCAAATATCAATTCAAATCAAGTATCATTTCATGAAATTATTTTATATTAAATTAAATGTACTTTTACATATAATTGTGTGTATAGTTTGTGTGATATTATCGTAGATATAATACTTCACTTTATGTATTTTTGCTTATTTATAAAGAGGCCAACTTGCCCATTTTGGGGAGAAAGTTTTTTAAGCGATACTAAAATTTAAGTTTCAATATTGGAATTTTGGTTTAGAAAATTTGACTTAAAATTATTTTGCTCACAACTACCCTTAAATAAATAAAAAGTTTATATGAAGTGCGCTTTTAATTCCTGATACTTTATAAAATCTTTCACCAGAAGTAAAGCAGTTGGCATCCTTTCATTTACAAAGACTAAAATAGTATCAAAATTACATCAAAAGTATACGAAACATTTCTAAGAACTAAGAAATTATAGTTACAGCACTTTTTAAATTTATGTAATTACAATTACTTTTACAATTTATATAATTATTTCATAATATTTTTTTAAATGTATAAAACGTATTTTTCTTCTAACTCATAAAAGTGTTTTTTTCAATCAAAAGGAAAGTCTGAAGTTACGTCTAAAAAACTGCACCTGATATCTAAGAAATGACAAGAGCAATTTTCTATAATTGCATATGAAAAAAGCTTTATTGCTGATTTTCTTACAAACAACTTATTTGAATATCGTACTTTTCTAGAAACATCGTTTTTCTTCAAAAATCACTTAGAATGTTTGATATTTAAAGCATAACATTTAAGAAATTATCAACCAAAACTTTGAACGTAAATAAAAAAAGCAAATGAATTTTAAAGACAAACTTATTAAAATGTGAGCAAGATTAACAAAAATTTTGTTAGTAGGTGCGATAGGTCCTGAGCAAAGTGATATTTTATATGAAAAAACAATTATTTACAAATTGATTTTGAAATTTTGCAAACGCGCTTAAGAATGTATCTTGATGTACAAAAATGACTTTAGGGTCAGAAACATCACCTATCAGAGTTAAATAAACTTTGTTCAAAAATTTATTGTAAACATGAATAGTTCTAACTAAATCACTTTTAAATGCCATAAATAATAACGCATATGATTGTATTATTTATTCTTCGAAATGATTGTTGATTTCTATTCATATATTTGAACCAATAAAACGAACCTTTTATACCTCTTTTGACATTTTTAATGTAATGCAATATCTTTTCTTGGTATAAAAATAAAGATATTTCTAAATATAATGCAATGACAGGACTTGCGAGAAAAATAAACAGAATTGTATTATCTATTTCCAGGAAAGAAATATTTTATCTGTTTTTCGAATGAAAAGCGTTAGAAAGTATTATGAGAGTGACTCAATGTATTTTTTAAGATACTTCTAGACTTATGTAGCTGACAACAATGTAACAAAACCTAACATTCATATACATGTGACCAAATAATATTTGCTGCATTATTTCCCATTAAAAAAGTTTCTAAAATTTCATTTAGATCAGAAAATTCTTCACAGTAGGCAAATAAAATAAAAAAAAATAAAAAAACATTATAATTTCGAACTTTTGAATCAGTAAATCTAACAAAAAAGAAATACAAAGTGTCACTCGTCAGTTAAGCTTAAATTTTTTTTTTTTTTTGCAAAAAAAAATTAAGATTAATAATTTTTTGTCCATTTTCGTTCGTTTATTGAAGAAAAACGTTATTAAAAAATTCAGAATAAAATACTAAGGTTTTGCAAAAAAAGCAATAAAAATAGATTAAAAACATTTAAAAACACGCTGTCAACGCTGTTAAATAGTCAACGTAATTGGGATCTACGAATTAAAATGGTGATTGTTAAGCAAATATTATATTGAATAATTCTTGTAAAGCAAAATTTGATCATACTTTATTCAGAAACAAAACTTTTCTTTTAAAAACTTTTAGACCCCTCAAGATTTCGTAAAGGTATCAGTATCTTTTTTACGAAAAATTGTTTTTTTCCCTTCTCTTTAAAATATGAGCATTATTGATATCTTTAAAGAAGAATATGGCAAGTAAATTGAATTCCTAGTTCTTTATTTAAAATAATTGGATGATACTGAAAAGGATTTAAAAACCTTTAACATTAAAAACTAGTGAAGAGTTCTCTTAAATGGAAAACTTTGGATGAAGTAAAATATATAATAAAAGATCTCACGATGCTCAAAAATATTAGATTTTCGTAATTATAAAATTTTTTGATAGTTATGTAAATTTTTAATTTCATATTATATAAAAACGTTAACTGAAATAATAAAAAAAATCAAAATACGAAAGATTGAGGCAATTTGGAGATAAGAGACACATTTTCCAAATGTGACTTTTTTTTCATCAAGCTATTCCTTAGTATTGTTTACAGATCTCTTCCTCCCCTTACTTTCGTCAAGGAATATATTTATAAAGTTTAAACTTAAATATAAGATTTTAAAATCAAAAAGTATTTCTGTTAGTTATATCTACTATTAAAAATCAGAAATAAAAAAACTAAATACTGGATATAAAACGTTATTACTTTCGTAAAAAAATTTCAGTGAGACTTGGAGCAATGTAGTGAAAAGCACAATTTTTCTAGAAGAGACATTTTTTTCGCCAAACTATTTCTTAGTATTCTTTCCAGATAGGAACACAGAGGAAAAAAGTACGATCAAACTCAGTTGAATATGATACAATTTATCGTGTTTTTGGCCCAATGAGAATTTGGCGCTTTCGTAATGACTTTTAGTAAAATTAACAATTGTTTTATAATATATGTTAAAATTTAGTAAATGTAGTAAAATTTGGTAATTTTATAATGATACTTTAGAGAAGGGCATAAAAACCATTTATTTGGTAAAATTTACTTTTCAGTTTCATATTTTTACTAAACGTGTGGTGATAAGAACTATTTGCAAGCCGGAATTTGGGGTAAACCATTACCATATGAAAGAAAAAACCACGAAATGACTGGTTTAAATACCGTATAGTTCGGTTTTATAACCAGAATTATGTTTTTTTTTAAACAGAAATGCATTTACCATACAGTGTGGTAATTTAAAAAAATTTTTTTCTCCATGTACTTTCCAGATACATTCCACAACGGTTACCCACTTAGAAATTGCATCACTTTTCCCCGAAAGGCTTGCTTAAACATTTGAAAATGTGCTTTATCATTATATTGTTCTTTACATTATTTTATCTTTCATATGTTCTCAATTTTTATTTTTTATGCAATTTCAGTTGATTTCTCATTAAGAAAATTTTATAAATCAATTGATTTTTATTGTTTTTATCTATTTTATAGGCTAGAGCTCCCATTATGGGTGGCAAAGAGGAATATTTTGATGCTGTTGAGGAGCAAAAAGAAGCACTAGATGACCTGAACGAAACAGAAGAATTACGTAAACGTTGTTTGCAAGAAATGAGAGACTGGGTCAAATCTCAACCCCATTTTATCAATTGCCGACTTGGTAGATTATTATTTAGAAAATCTTCCATGATTTAGTTTTTTTTTAAAGAAAGCATTAAACCCTTTGTTACAATAAACAATTAAGGTGCATGAACTCTGTCATTGCAAATGAAATTTCAACAAATATTATTTATTTCAAAAGTAGTTTACTTCATTTGTTATTTTATTTCGAAAAATTGAAAAAGAAGGAATTATTCTTTTTAATATTGCGATTTTGAATAACATGTTTTAGAATGTCGCTTGAAGTTAAGTGTACTTATATTACTGAAAAATTGCATTTAGATTAGAGCGGGAGTAAATATCTATATTCTAGATCAGCAGGGAAAAATATGATGCAAAAATTAGAAAGTTTTAGTTATTTTCACATTTTTAAAGGTGGCAGATTATTTTTTAATTACTTTTAATCAGTTAGCTTTTATTTGAGCTTGATCAGCTTTTTGCATCATCACAACGTTACCAGACAGACATGACAAAAGTGATAATTCGTGTTTCAAAATATACTTTAAGAGAATTATAGAAAGGGTTCAAATAGCATTTTATCATGTTGTTTCTCAGATATTAACATATTACATACGGTGGTACCGTATTACATACCGTAAATGATTCCATTGTAGCATTTTCATATCTTTATCCTAACGTCTTTCAGTGCTCAGGAGGTATATTTGCTTCATGGAAGGACGGGTTCTATTATCTCAACAATACATACTTTCCTTTAATTGTCCGAATTATCTTTTCAAATTATTTAATTTTTATTTTTCAACAGACTTAATTTACGATACCATTTGATTTTTTTTACTGTTAAGCTCAGTGCAGCCCCTTCTAGCTCTTTTGCTATTAAACTTTACAGTATTTTTCAATGAAAGTTAGCCAAACGCTTTAAAAAAAAGGTATGACATGAGGTCATGTAAATGCATCTTTTTTTTATATAAATGACTTTTAAATGAATTAGATGTTTGTTTCATATTAGTCTGTGTGCTTTATACTTTATTTTTCATTTTCAAAACAAATGTTTGATGATAGAACGTTTGATTTTTTCTCTTCAGTGTTATTTTAAATTTATAAAGCTGCTGAAAATTTTTCCAGTGACACTAAAATTAAATAAATTATTTTCTTTTAATATGAATCAATATCTATGTAATTTTTTATAACACATGATGTATTTATGTATGTAAACATTTAGGTGTAAGGAATGTTTTTTATAACTTTCATTATAATTGTTTTTTGGTGGCTTTATTACTTTACAAAGCAGTTGAACTATAGAGGAACTCCATCATTACGAACGTAGCATTTGCAGACTTAAAATGCATATAACTCAGCTAAAAAAAGTCTGTTTAAATATTCTTTTCTTAATATAAACTCTTGGTGTAATAGTTGCATTATGTCAGTAACAGCTAACTATTATTTTTTGTTTTTGAAAAAACGTTAAGTAAATGTAAGGTGATAAAATTTAGAGTAAATTTAAGTGACATTCCGAGTTATTTTAACAAAAATTATTAAACTGGTAGATTTTTTTTTTATTTAAAGTTATATGCATTTATATCTGCACTCGTCAGTAATGATGGAATTACCCGTCAACAAAGAAAAGAATTCCGAAAATGATTGCACAGCAAAGAAATATGTACACTGTAAAACAGAGTTTCTCAAAATTGAGCAAAAATGCTTCAAAATGTATTCAAATTCTCATATATTAAAAATTCAAACAGCACATACTCATTTTTTAACAAAATGCACATGAAGAGAGAAATGTGGAAGAGTGATGTTCGTTAGCTGCAGGCAGGATTCGAACCCAGGACCTCCGAGTTCGTAATAGGATTCTCTAATCACCATAGTTTTACATATATTAAAAAGTATATAAAAAAAATTTCTCATGTAAACAAGCTACTTTAACCTTAAAACGTTTTTGGCATGAATTTTGAAGCGCATAAGCTAGTAAATGACAAACAAATATAGAAATACGCAGAAACTACATTTCTTTCCTGCCCCCATAATTTCAAAAATAAAACTTTCTTTTTTAGCAATCAACTTTAATTAATTATAGTAATGATAATAAATTGACAAAATAATTCTAAATTGAACGCATCTCAGAAGTAAGAATACATTTAACTAAAATTGTGCAATTCGTTACATAACTATTAAGAATGTTTACTTTTAGTTGAGTTTTAATTTAGAAGTGTTAATCATATCATGGTTAAACCATACAAAATGATCCACATTTAATAACATCTAAGAAATATTCCGATGTTTATTTGAATCCACATATAAATTTCTTTCCTTATTTTTACAGATGCCAATTTCTTACTACGATTTCTTCGTATGAGAAAATACAGGGTTGATTTAGCTCAACAAGTCTTAGATAAATACTTGACTAACAAAACGAAATATCCAATGACCTATCAGAAACTAGACATTCAAAAATCTAGTCTAAGAGATCTTATATCCAGAGGGTAAGTTTTAAAAATACTCAATATATTTTTAAGATTTTTTCACTTCATGAGGAAGTAGATTTGGGTAATTTGAAACATTACAAAATAATGTGAAAAGTTAAAAGTGTCGTTCGAATTCCTGAATCTGTAAAATTTGCAAAAATTATATCTAGCATTTACATGACAAATGTGTTGTTAAAAACTAGCTTTAAAAAAAGGCTTTTCGAATCTAAGTTATGAGTTTTAAACATTTTCTTGAACTTCATTATGTTCCGGCGTATTTTTAGATGCATTGTTATACCTTACAACTGATTGTATGGAACAAAATCACGCAAAATTGAAATTTTGTCGTATTATTCCTTTTTTTAATTTTGCAGAGTAAGAGAAATTTTTTTTTCATACTTTTAAATTTTCTTTAATAATTTTTAATGTAATTCAGATGATAAAATAAACCGAATAAATGAATTCTATATCATATGTGGGATTTCGGATATTTATTTTTGTTAATAAAATAAATTTAACAGTGTGATATATGTAGATTTAAAATAACACTATTTTATGTTTGAAATAAGGTTTTGAGGTGAGTTTGAAATAGTGCTTTTTTTCTATTTTTTCTTTAAATTGTAGAAAATGTACTATACTCCGTTGCAAGCTACGAAAAGACCATTGCAATATAGGATTTAAGTAATCATCTGCTACTGCGTATAGTTTATTTTTATTTAACTATCAAATTATATAATTATGCTTTCAAAACGATATAAAAGCTTTTAAAAGTTAAACTCGTTGAACAGAAATTAAATTCGTGCTATTTTTTATAAGCAAAAAGAAGGCCGTGCTGCGTCTCTTCAAGATTTGGCGATGATAATATTCTCCCGCTCTTGGAGCTTGGCGTCCATTTAGATGCACTTGGATGCAAGCAGGGTCTTTCCATAGGGATAATGGTTTTTTCTTAACTTGCAACAGAGTTTAGTGCGAATTTCTACATCGGTTTCGATTCGTGAGAAACAGCCACCACATTGAAATTTTAAAATAATAAACATAAGCTCTTTTAAATTTTATCAGTGTTCCTTTAGATTGTTTAAACACCATATTAAATGTTTTATTTTACTAGTATCACAGATTAAGTACCAGATGCAAAATAACTACAACTTGTACAAAATCTATTACTTAACTATGCATATAAATATGAGGTTTTAAAATTTATAATAATCATTTTTGTAAAGATGCCAGTTAGATAGTATAAAAAACTTTAAAAGCAAAGCATCTAATAAATCTAGTTTTTAATTACATTATGAATCGATTTGAATCACCAGGGTGATCGATCAAAAAGGTCAATATAGAAGTATTAATATTCGATATATTAACCCTATAATCCGTCACCATAGCCCATGTTGTCTGATTTTCATCACAAAATATTTTGGAGCACTAACAGGGTATGTAGACATGACCTAAACTGTTAAAAATATGAAACCAATCAATCCGATATTCTACACTATAAAATAACGCTATATTTTTTTAAAAAATTTATTAAAAAATTATCTAATCAAACATCAAATGATTATAGCCGACAATTGACTTGATATTTTTTCAAATAAAAAATTAAAAAACGTCAGGATATTTATTATTGAATAATTTAATCTCTCTAACTAAATTTTTTACAAAAATGTAAAAAGTTTTGATTATTAATTACGTTAATTAATAACCAAAGTTAAGGTATTTAAGAACTAATTAACAATGGATTAAAGTCGACAATTTATATTGTATTTTTATAAAGGAGCTAACAAGATATATTAGAATAATAAAATTAAATATTTTAAGCTCTCTAATGAAATTTAAAAAATTAATTAAAAATCAAATTAATATTTACTATATTAATGAAACGAATTGAAATAAATTTATTTATCTAATATTAAATAAAAGTTAGTTAAATTAATTGGAAATAACAAAATAATTAGCCTTAATTAATAATATATTAAGCAAATAAACTTATTATTATTTAAACTAATGAAATATTTCTTACATTTAAATGTTGTCAAGAAAATCGGAATTGACAATAAAATGTAAGGGCTATTTAAATTAAATTTCTTTATTCTATTAATTTACCATATTTTGCATATTACCTTTCAGTTAAAGCAAATAAAAGAGAGTTGTATACAATAAGCGACAGTACAAGTCAACATAAATGGCAAAATAAATAAATAAATAAAATAAAAAGAATGAAATTGCATAAACAAAGCTGAATACATAGATATGAAGCTTAAATGTAATACAGTGAAGATTCTTTTGAAATTAAAAAAACCATTGATACAATGAAGCATTTATATTTTTTATAAAGAAATAATTCGCAATCCTTTTAAATTTTACAAATATAGCAATAAATTAGCATCAGTATTACCCTCTTTTTTAAGACACAATACTCGATATGCTTCATCTTAGGAACATTAGGCCTTTATAGGTATTTTTATCTGATATTATAAAAGCCCTTGAGCAACATTTGCTGTTGTGCTTCACGTATCTACCATCTATTTGAGGTAAGAATATTTCTTGCGTAGTTTTTAATTTTTTCAGCCACCACCCCTTCCATAAAATGAATTAAATGCTAATTAATGCATTCTATTTTTTCCCCCGGAGTCGGCTACAAAAACGGTCAAGAGCTAGAATAAATCTTAATTAAATCGTCTAATTAAATTATATAATCAAACATAAATTGTGATAAAATATAAAAGCTTTCTAATCTACAATTCATAAATTCGTACCTGAATTATACTATCTATAAACTTCTTGTTTTCATTAGAAATATGGAGAATAAAGATATTTCATTCCAACTGGCATGTCACTAAAACGTACTTTTAGTTTCATTTCATTCTGTCCATACATTTTTAAACTCAGCAAAAAAAAAAAAAAAAAAAAAAAAAAAAAAAAAAAAAAAAAAAAAAAAAAAGTGAGAGAGAGAGAGAACAAAATAGTTATAATTACAGAGCATGAAATTAAAAACTTTTATTTCAATGTTCAAACTATTCTTAAGTTTGATATCCAAACGATATTTTTAATGTTTGTATTTTAAAAATTCTTAATTTAGATTTTTTAATATTCCTTATTATTATATTTAAATAACTACGAATTTTACTTTTTCTAAATTCTTATCTTTAAAAACAATCATTTAAAATGATAATTCAGAGCTCTTTTTTAAAATTAAAATGATTTCTTAAATTGAAATGTAAAAGACATAATGAAAGATTTCTTATTTTTTCTATCTTATCGTTTTTATTATGAAATAGCATTTCATTAATTTTTAAATGGGACATATTTCTAAATGTTTATCGACATTGAAATTTTATGTTTTAATGCTTGCGTTTGAAAATAATTGGAATTTTTATATTAACTTCAATTAATGATTAAATATTAAATACATAAATTCCTTTCGAACTATAAATTCTTTAAGTTTTTCTCGTTTATCATTAGCTTAACAAAGTTAATTGTCTTACGTGGAAACGAAAGTTGAGAAAATTTTCTTAGTCCCTCTGACTTATGTTGAATTGTAACTATCAATCAATTTTACGTGAGTCAATAGCTTTAAAGTGCTTACATAATTTTCAAAGAGCTTTATTTGAGTTTTAAAGAAAGTTTAAAAGCATTTTAACAACATTTTAAATGAAGTTAGTTTATAATTATTTTAAAGGAAATCAAGCAATCAAGAAATAAATAGGAGATTTTAAGACAAATATTAAATTATGATAAAAGAAACTAATGACTGATCACAATCAGGAAAAATGTAAAAAGTGGTAGAGATAATTTGAAAAGATAAGTTGTTTTTACTAATTCCTATTTACCAAAGTAAATTTCTAAATTATATGAAGCGTGTCTATTTGTAATGATTGACTAGCCTAAACTCTAAAGTACCTCTTTAAACACTTGCCTTCACTTTAAAAAAAAAAATTCCGGTTAAGGACACTGTGCATGAGATTGAAATCGATAGTAAAAGCTTATTTTTTTATCCCAATCTTTTAATTTTTTTAATTTCACATAAAACTGTTTTCTTTTCAAATATATAGGAATTAATCTTACTAAATTTTAGGATCAACTAAAAAGTACGAAATTTTGAATTCCTTTTATTTCCTTCAGATCCAAGGAAAAGTATTTTTTCTGATAGCGAGAGTTAATGTTTTAGATTAATCTTTAATTTTTTTAAAATCATAACTCGAAACTGTTTTCTGTTTTAAATATATAGGAATAATATAACAAAATTTAAAGATCAACGGAAAAATACGAAATTTTTAAATTCTTTTCCTCAAGATGCGAAGAAAAATATTTTTTTCGATAGTGAAAGATTATGTTTTTAGTTTGGTCTTAATTTTTTAGTTTAATTTGAAGCTGCTTTCTTTTTCAAGCATGTAGGAATAATATTACAAAATTTTGAGATCAACGGAAGAACTCAAAATTTTGAAAGCCTTCAATTTCTTCAGCTACAAGGAAAAGTATTTTTCCCTATAGTAAAAGCCTATTTTTAGCACAATCTTTAATTTTTTAAAAAAATTTAATTTGAAACTGTTTTCTTTTTTAAGTATATAGGAATTAATATTCGACATTTTAAGACCAACGGGAAAATTAAAAATTTACAAGTTCTTTTATTTCCTTCGGATCCAAAGAAATTTCTTTGAAAAACAAGGACATTAAAAAAAAAGCATCCATTTTAACTTATTAAACTAAATATTACTAAATTTTACTTTAAATTTAATTAAAAATATCAAAAAAGTTTTTATTCCATTTTTTTAGTGCTTTGTTTATTTTCAATTTTTTAGTGTTGTTTTAGTGTATTTGTTTAGTGTTATTGCTGGGTGGGTTAGTTAAAAATAATTATTTAAAAAAATTTTATTTTTTATCGCCAATCTTCAATTAATTATTCATTATTAAATGAAAAAATCTAAGCATATTTATATTTTAAGAGTTAAGTAGAACATGGTATTATGTATTTATTTACCTCTTTGTGAAAAGTTTCAAAGTATAATCAACAGTTTAGAAAGTTATTTCAAAACTTTGCACTGCGATTTTCAAGGTATAAATGGTTGCTACGAGTGAAATGACAAGTTTTTTAAACGCTTCTAGTGAAAAAATAACCAAACATGTAAAAATGCAATGGACATTTTGATAATTAATTTCACAAATTTGCACTACGATACCTATATTTTTCAATCAAAAGTATTCTCTTTGAAAATCATTCCTGAAATTTACTGAAAAAGAAGAGATAAAAATTGAAAGAGTACCATAGATATTTTTAGAAATAATTTCATAAATTTGCACCCCGAATCCTTTTTTATAGGATACAAATATTTTTACGACTGCCATTTTCTGAAACAATACCCTGCACTTTTTGTCCGAGTTATAGCTTTTCTCTTTATATTAAAATAAAGTTATTGAACAGTCATCGACTCAAAAAATTTTGCCCGAACATGTTTCTCACTGTCATAGCTCAGAAAGTATTCAATAAAACAATATGGAATTTAGCGTACTTTTAGAGAAATGTTTAGGAAATATTCTGTCGTTGAAATATTATTGATGACGTCATTAGTTTTTGAGTCATGTCATTGTTGAAGAATTTTTATTTTTTGAAGATATTTTACAGTTGAGTAGAAATTTTTTCTAATAGACTCAAAACATTGTATACGAACCATTTTAGGAATGATTCATGTCTTCTAAAAATATCATTTCTTTAAAAATTAACTGCAAACTTGAAATAAGAAAAAAAAAAACGGAATTATTAAAATAATTTTGCCAAAAAACAAACGGAATTATTAAAATAATTTTGCCAATACTGTGGAATATACTCATTTTTTGCTTCAACACTTGAATACTTAGGGAAGCATTCGTGTGTGTGTGTGAACCCTACTATTGCATAACTAAAACTAAAACAAAGTAAAAAAGAGCACAAATTATGCCATATAAATAAGAAACACTTGTTTCGGTTCAGTAATGAAGCATCTTCTTTAATGTCGAATTACAGATTTAAGGAGACACAGACTTGCTGAAGAAATTACAAACTTCTGCATCTAAGTGTTTCTTTCCTTCATTGTGTATTTCAACCCTAAAGTCATTATTTCTGCTGTTTTGTCGTTTTAGCTTTATTTATATAACCTAGTTAGCCTGGTTAACCGAAGTTAACCTAGTCTTTATTTTGCCATCTATTGCTTATTTATACCTCATTCCTATATTTTTTTTCTATTCAAATAAGTAAATATTTTATACTACTTGAACTTTGTAAATTGATTTGCGATGCCATTTTTATGTCGATTCGACAGAACTCATATTTTTTCAGGTATGTATTTCCTTTACCTGAGAGAGATAAAGAAGGACGAGTTGTTTTGTTCTGTATCGCTGGTAAGTAAACATTTAATAGATAATTCAAAATCAGTTTGCATTAATTTTCTGTCAGTTTTTTGCAGGCTTAACATATATTATTATTTCTTTTTTGGCATAAAATATTCGGGAAAGCTTTTAGTAAGGTGATGCTTTCAGTTTAGCTAAAATCTGAATTTGGTTAAATAAAATTATAATTAGTACTTCCATAAAGCAAAAGTAAGAATAACAGGATTAAAGGAATATTTTATTTCATTTAAATTCATAACCTCTCGAATCATGAACTACATTCTTAATAATCAATAACAGCAAACTCTTTTTTGTGTTTCCCTGCAATCAAGAAACAAAGCCTCAACAAACGCTGGTGCAGAGCTTTCAAACTCCAACTCTTCAAAACTTCATGTGTAAAAAAGAAGAAGAAAACACTAGATGATACAACACATTAAAAACAAATTTACCAATATTCAAATTCATTATTTAAAACCTATATCTCCAGTGCATTCTCAGGGGAAAACATAGGTGTGAAAAATATCAAAATTTAAATAATTCTGCTTTTGAATTAAATAATTCTTACGCTTATGAGAACAAGATATTAAATGCTTAAATTAACAAAAACACTTGGAAATATCAAAGGGAACTTAAAAGGTTAAATTTAAGTTAATATAAAATTTCATGTTAAAACATGCAGGAAGTTCCGTAATAAATACCTTTAATATAATCTTTGTTAAAAATGAAATATTAAAAATATTCAGAAATTAATGTTCAGTTGAGAGGAAACATAAAAACCTTTTCAAAACATTATTCAATTCTATCAAGGCAAAAGCAGGACAACAATTATTAAAAATCAGTCTACTTGTAGAGTGGGATTGAATTGCGATCACTTTTCGTAAAATACTATTTAACTGATTCGTTCTCAGATAAAAAAATTTCTGATTATTTTAACCTTTTTTTTATCTGATTCATACGAAATATGATACACTTGTAGTCTTTATGAAAATCCCTGAGTGAATCTGAATATTTTCTTCTATTTTTTCAGGTGCATTGGATTCGTCTCGACACAAACAATCTGATGTTTTTAAGTCTTTTCTTCTTGCGTTTGAAGTACTCATGGAATGTGAATTAAATCAAAAACGAGGTATCAGCTATATTTTTACTCAAGAAGGGTATCACATAAGTCATGCTCTTCTAGTTGGTCTTCGAGATTTGCAGAAAATGGTTAACAGTGGAGAGGTATGACTTTATTACCAATTCCTTGCACTTCATGCACCGAAGAGCCATTACATTATACACCAAAGAGACATTAAATTATGACCACCCTCCATCTATAACAATGAGCTCGCCCAGATTTTAATGGTTTCTAGCCCAGGAACAGTGTTTTCACGGGGCACATTAGGACCCATAATCCTCATAGAACAATCCTTGACGTTTGAAAGATACTTGAACATAATGCAGACCAGGTTCACCCATTCATGGCAACAGTTTTTCCTGCGGGGGATGGTGTTTACCAACAGGATAATGCACCATGTCATAAGGGTCGAATCGTCATGGATTGGTTCGAGGAACATTCCAGTGACTTTCAAGTCATGTCTTGGCCCCCAAATTCACCTGACCTTAATCCAATAGAGCATTTGTGGTCCTACTTGGAAAACCAAATTCGTGCTGCCACGCTACCCCCTCGCAATGTGAGGGAATTGCAGGACCAGTTGGTGAGCGCTTGGCACCAGATATCTCAGACTACCTATCAGCACCTTGTGGAATCAATGCCAGCAGTTTTGAGGGCTAAAGGTGGTCCTACATGTTATTAGCAGGGTGGTCATAATGTAACGGCTCTTCGGTGTATATGCTTTTTAAATTACCATTCCTAAAGAATCCTTGATGTACTATTTTTTTCATAAATGAATTTTTTTAAGGACTAATTAAAAAAGTTTTCAAAATCAAAATTTTTACAAAAAGTTAAAGAAAAAACTGTGTTAAATCTTAATGTTCATGAGCTTTTGCTTCTAAATAGATCTTTGACCTTTAAATTTTAAATCTTATAACTTTACGAACATTGAAAGTGAACATTTTTAAATTTAGAACATGAAGGCATGAGTTATTTATTTCCAAAAGTTTTGTTAGTCTAATGTTACTTTTTATTAGTCTAACGAAAAAAGCTCTCTTGGAGGAGCTCAAATGAATTCAGACTTTTGACCTTTTAAAAATGTACGCCATTTAAGCATGTTCACGAACATTCAGTCGGTAGTCTATAAAGACTGCCCTTAATATGTATTCTTAGAATCGTTATCAAAAATAAAAACAAGAAAGTATACACATTGGGAGTCGCAAACTAATAAACAGTCGAGGATAAAACAAAAACACTTTATAAATCGAACAAATCACAGCAAAGAAAGGCGAATGTAAGAAACTACAAAGCAGGTTTGATTGCGGAAAGAAACTGAGAAAGGTTAAAACACAATTATTCGAAACACTTTCAAATTTCTACTCAAACAAAGCCTGCTTTGATGATTATCACATCCGCCTTCCTCAATAGCAATTTATTATTCCTTTCTCTCGTAATATAAATTCTCAACTCTAATTGCGTATACTTTTCTGCTTTTATTTTTGATAAATATTCTAAATATACACAGTAGGATTAATCTTTAAGAAACACTTTGTTTGAAATTTGATATAAATATGTATTTTCCGATTAATTGAATGTTCTCTTTCCCTAATGAAGCTCATCATTCCTTAGTATAATAGTGAATATCTACATTACATGAATTTATTTACCATTTTATTCAGTGAATTATTCATATTTTTATAGTTTTTTTAATAATTCTCAAGGATCTAATCTATTACGAAAATTCTATTCTATATCTTCTACATTTTAAAATAAAATTTCTTGTTAAAAAAAATGTCGCTTGTTTCAAATGTCGCATTTAAAATTTTTAGTACATATTTTTGAAATATGAAGATATCAAACTTTGAAATTTAAAAAAAAAGCATTTTATCATGCTTTTCAGTAGTAAATGAGATAAAATTTGGTAATGTTACAAAAAAGAAAGCAATTTTGACAAAGTATAATTTGAAATAACGTGAAACTGCGCAGTTTGATAATCTATATTTTTTTTAGTAAACGCTTACAAATTTGTTTTTTCGTCGGTTTTCTTTTGCAGGTAAGCTATAAGTAAACACCTACCAACCTTTAAAACTAAAAAAATTATGCATTTGTAAACATGCAAATACCTGGACAAGGCTAAATGAAATCAGTAACTAAATTATTACGCATCCGGTCTTTTCAATCTTCCTAAAATTGAAGCATCCCGTCGCAACCCTAGAAGTTTCTTGATATATTTATTTATTGTTATGCAGATTTGTGTTCTCAAAGTTCGGCTTATAATCTCTTCACCAGTTGAAGTACAGTTTGTACAATATAGATAAAGATGCCACAAATACATATCTGGCGATGCAATGAGATTCGAACCCGCAATCTCTACACTATAATAGATGAATCCTTGTAATGTGTTTGTCTAACTTGAGCCTTATGTTTTAACTTGACTAGGACTTATAAACGGTATTTAATGTGCATGTAATGTGTAAATAAACTAATAAATACTAGGAATAGTGATGTTTATTTTTCACTTATTTGTTTTGCGCTTTCTTTTTACCAGTAATTTCTTTACCATACAAATATGGTAATTTTAACAGAATAATTTTCTTCTTGTGTGTTTAATGTAAGCACTCTGGAGTTTCCATGTTTTTTCCCCGAAATGTTTCCTAATTTCTATTCAATTCGATAGATTCAAGTTTGACAAAGTGTTACCTACATTCTAAAGTGAAATATTCCTAATTTCAGAAAGCAATTCCACTACGACACAAGCAACTACATTGGATGAATGTGCCGAAATACTTGGCGACTCTGTTTCAATTTTTGAAAACATTTTTAAGCCATAAACTTCAAGAAAGAGTAAGTCATTTTTAAAATACCATAGGTTATTCAATCTTTCTTTATGTGTTCTAAATAAGTTAAAGATGAAAAAAAATGTTTTGAAAAGAAAATATTGCGCACAAAGCAATTGAAGAGATTAGTGGAAGAACCAGTTAAGTGACATTTTAGTGAATTTAAGTGAATGAGATTTAAATTTCATACGTTCCTTGTTTTTGTTATATCCTTCAATCTTTATGTTTATAATATATTTACGCAGATTTAATTAAGAAAGTTTTTGAGGGTATATTTATTTTGCCCTAACTCTTTCATAAACGAATATTTTTTAATAGCATTTGGTTGTTTTTTTCGGGAAATTTTCAATGTTTTTCAACGAATATAATTTTGTTTGAAAAGCGAAAATGAAAATAAATAAATAAATAAATATATATATATAT